GAGACAAAGCTCCTCTATAGCGAAACCTATTGTAGAGACAGGACATGTTTACACGTCCTATTAACCTATAGATAAAATGTGTTTGGGCTGTATCCTGAAGTTTGTGGAAGCCCTAACTGTCAATTCGAAAGTCTAAACCACCTTCATGCGTTCATATACAATTCGTCATCACACTAAACTTTCCATGGTAAACTTTGTTCCGATACCATAGTAGATGTACTGTTACCTCTCTCATTTGGTTTAGTCATCACAATTGTTATTTTGACCTTCAATATGTCCTTTCAACTTGACCTAAGTCTATTTTCTCACCTCTTACCTCCTTCTTAATTTCATCTATGCTCCTCTGACAGGTCTGTGTGTGGTCAGATTGTTTGAAATGTGTTGCACGAATACATTACGCGATTCAAACAAATTACATCTTCTCATTGCTTTGTCTAAACTACTAATTTCACGTTGCATAAAAACAATCACACAATCATTGTAACTAAATTTGTTGGATATTTGGGTAATTTGTTTATTAAGTAGAATTATTCGCATACATAACATTGCTTATAAAGGGATTCGAAATCTCAGGCGACTTTTAATCCACCTAGGATTTATATTTCGTAGCTTAATTTGGATGAAATCGAAATTTAATAAACAGCATTTTGATATACATATATTCTACAAGAAGTATGAAAGGTGGACGTGTAGTTTGTTTAGCACAGCTTCATGAAGAAATACATGGACAATATACTCACCTTCTAAGCTTCGTACCTCTACAAAACAAACGTAATCTAGTTAGATGTCTAGTTGACCGGGATATAGTTATCTGTTCAAATCAGACACTGAACGACGAACTCGGTAATATTGGCCATCTACTAAGTAGAAACGGATATCCAACTAAATTCGTAAACAAACACATGATCTCAGAAAGTAAAATTCGAAGGTATCGACTGGTCCTGAAAACTCAGTCTTCCTGAGATTACACTTCACGGATGATGTCAAAAGCATGATCTTATTACGACGTTTTCTAAGGTCCTTCAAAAGGACTTTCGACGCAGCTAAGCTATTCTGTATATTCACTATCCAAACAATACTCAGTTCAAGAAATAAAGACAAATTACCCTGTTTCGCCTCTTCCATGTGTAATTACCAGTGTAAGTGTCCGTGTGGAGCTAGTTACATGGGGCGTACGATCAGGCAGATTCATCGTCGAATTTCTGAGCACCTCCTATCTTTGTTCGGCAAAGGTCCGAACAAAGCTATATGCAGCTAAATACTGGATCACGTCGTCGATACTGGATATAAAGTCAAATCTAGCAAAGTTTTTAAAGTTATTTAACGTAAATTATCCATCATCCCTCATAGTCTGCGAGTACAACTTTTACATACATCAGAGGAAATGAAATTCGTCGAACAAGTAGGATCTGTGTGTTCAAAAGAAATTTGTACAGCCCTCTACTTTGCTATGGCCAACTACATAATACGTACTAAATTTTTAAAAACGATCTTTCCCCTGGCTTTGTGACTATCTTTTGACTTTGTTAATTTTTACCATTCCTACAATTCTAGCTAGTTCTATTAACTTTTTGTATTTTACGTAATTCTTCTGAGTCATCCTATTCTTCTTAGTCATCATTATTTTACAAATTTCTTGGTTGTGTAACAAGTTATCGCCAACGCTTAAGAATCAACTTATCTTGATTTCCGTAATTAATTTCCATCCATCCTCTCAGACTTAAATATCTTGTTACTAACATCTATTAGTTAGTAGTTTTGATGACTTTCAACCTCTTAATTTCACCCTCTTCTACACATGATACTGATTAACTAAAATAACCACTTGATTGGTAGTTAATTTTGATGTTAAAAATACTGTATACGAGTGTAGAGCCAGCCGATGATGAGGACCTAACTGAAAAGAGCCTGGAAATAAAAGCCCACTTTGAAAGCTGAATCATCTTTTGTTAGGAACTCCAAAGACAACCAATCAACTTCAAATTCACCTAAAGCGACAGTTAATAAATTCATGGAGGATTTGAAAGTTCAGTTTCTGTTGAAGTTCACGCTGAATGTGTTGTCTATAAAAACAGCGAAAGTCTCGTAATTAAACCACCTATCACAAATAATGAAATAACACTAACACCGAAAACTGCTTAAACGAATTACTGAGTAAATGCCTAATGGCCCAAAAAGAGGTATGATAATTGTACATAAAATGTTTCAGTTTTAATGTCTTTGCGCAAGTATGATTAGATAAACACTCGACAGATAAGGAAAAAATCATGATCAGAATAAAACGACGAAGTTATCTCTTTCGTATTATTCACTGGATGACGCTTGGAACACTGTTTATTGTTCGTATTCGTGCAACTGTAAGTAAAAGACTTCGAAAATCGATTCCCGCGGTTCTCGTTTTTCTTTAACATATATCTCAAAGGTAGTAGAATTATATACATGTATCACTGTTTCCTTTTGTAAATATACTGTCGCTGATACGGAAATATACTTTCCGACTCAAGTCGTTTGTGTCCTCACCCAAGTGAGCAGGTAGGGTAATCAGCTGGCTGTCATATAATGTTGTTGGCGTTAGACTAGCGATATTCGTGATTACTGCATTTGTGTCCAGCTTGATGCGCCTATTCCAACTCTACATATTACAGGAATAAAAGTGGCGACATTCATAACATCGTAGCAGTAAGATATGCTGGAACTAGGAGTATTACGGTCAAAATAGCTGCTCTCATCTTATTTCGTTATGGAGGTAACAACAAGGCACGTGTTTCACCTTCCTACTGTAGTGTGTATTACTTTTAAGAAAACGTCTTAGTAAAATTTAGTGCGTTGTCGTTAGTAGGTGTTACATGAGTAGAAAGCCTGCTGTTGCATTGGTTATCAGTATTGGAAAATACGAACAGGAAGCATCGGTGACCAAATAAGAAAGTTCACGAGAGAAGAAAAAACATCTCCAACACACACAAAACATTGTAAATCCGAAGTAGGAATATTGTATCAGTAACACTGTTAACAAGAAATCTTCCAAATTTACTTGTATCTCTTGTTATCTTGACTACTACCTAGGCATGAATTCGTTACCCCAAAAACCCACCACTTGAAAGTATGTAACTAATATGGCTCCATTTAATAAAAGTGTTACAATGCCTAACCTTCTATACTTCACTAAATCTTGCAACATCTTCAAGTTTATTTCTTCACTGAAAATTATAAAATGATCCTGTCGAGGTTGTCTTTGAGAATGTCTAATCTCGTAATAGGGTGAGATGTTTCCTTCATCACTCTAAATGCCTGAGAAGTTCTAGCGGTTCTAAGTGGTTAATTACAGATATGACCTCAACTGAAATGCGGAAAATTCAGTCAGCACTCACCTTGAATTTTTAGTGTAACAAGAAAAGTGAATCAACAAGCTATTCATTCACATGCTAGTCTCAACAAAGAAGCCTATTCAACTGATAATAATGTTCAGCACAATATTGTGCTAAACATTTACACTGCCAGTCTTTCCAGTCAACCACAGGAATCAGAACAGAACAAACACTCATGAGATTTCATGGATAGTTTAATTTTCAGAAATTGTGTGCTAAAAATGACTTGAAGTTTTGTTGAACTACTGTAGGTGAAACTCTACCTTTTCAGAATGCTAACACATGAATAATCAGGTTGAACGAGCGAATTCAGTTATTGAAACATTCAAGAAGTGGTCTACTTCATCACATCTACATCCAAACAACAGAGTCAAACATGCCACTTACAAATTAAGGCACTCTAGGTGAAAGTATTCAGATTTCAATAAGCGACCTGCTTATCATCAAGAATGGTAATTGATATGTAGTCACATGATGTGTGTGTTTGTTTTTGACAGTCTGTTATATTTTGCTATGTGTATATGGATCGATATTCCATTATAACTGACAATATGCTTTTGTTTATCCACTAACTTAATAAGCATGTATGACCTGGTTATCATATTACATTACAACCAATCATGGTAAGATGACTGTCTATTGGTTCATGTGTATTAGCCATTTTCATATATAATTTGCATTGTACACTTTATATACATTTTTCTTCTTTTCACGTTCGTACATTCGTTGCATTTCACTCACACTCTTGTGTGACATTTACTTTCCTTGTCTGGAAAATACAAGTATCATCGTAAACCTATTGGTCTTCTGATTTTCCCTTTTTTGAGTCAGGACTATCAACTACTCGACGAGTACATAACACTAATCAAGAAAGCAAATAAAATAGTATGACTGAGTGTATGGCTGGTCGATGAGTAACTGAAAATCATCACTCTAGATATATTCTTTAACATGACTTCACTGAGACAGTTGTCGAGGCTATCATATCTAGAGGCAGCTGTTTGGCCAACCTGGAAATCCGACTTCATATTGAAAGTTTCACTTTTTCAATTTGCGTCCTACGGGCTTTATTCTACACGATCTTTAGGAGTGCGCTTATCCACAAAGAATGTTCCGTTATGTAGTGTCTTTTATTCATACTGAGTAACCCAGTCATAACCACAGGATGCACCATTCCAGTTTTAGTGATAACTACTAAGTAAGGCGTTTTATGCTAATTACATCCTAGAAAAGGGAAATTTGTTTCACTGGAGTTAATGAGATTCAAATTTAACACAAATAAACACTGGGGTATTTGGAGTTGAATATTTATAATAATACATAACAAAATGATTGAAGAAATTAGTGAATAATATTTTTAAAGTAAGCGAAAATATTGTTTTGTTTTTGCATATCAATAATGCACTCATTTGAAGTGGTTAGAAAATGAAGTAATAACAGTTATCTTACTTAAAAGTAGCTTCGATGAAAAAATTTAATTTTCAAATCTTTCATACTTTCGGATAGACTAAATGAAAAATATTTTCAGTCATTCACTCTGTATTCGATGTGTTTCTAACTCCTTCATAATGCGTAGAACAACTTCTTCTTTCCAAGGTTTACCTACAATTTGCACACCGATTGGTAGTCCTTCACTTAACTCTTGATGTTTGAATACCTCAGAGTGAAAACGGTCTCCAGATCTCTTATAGTTTTCGGCCAGTGTTTTGATTCCTCCACGTCATCTCTATTTACATGACCCATTGAAACTGTTCCAGCAGGATAATTTAACGTGTTATACAAAGTTGTATAAGCAATAGCAGGTGTAACGAAGAGGGATTTAGCTGACTTAGGGAAGGCTGGAAATGGAAACACTGGACAGATGATTGCATCAAGATCACCAGCTTCTTCCATAGCTCTCTGAAACTCACGTCGATACTCCTCAATATCTGAAATCAAATTTAGTACCTCCTTCTCTCCTCTAGCTCCATCCAAGTATTCAGTAACTGCTGCTGGTTTACCAATGACAAGTTTCATGAGGTTATCTACCAAAACTTTTAAACAGTGTGGTACACGAGGGATTATATTTAGCCATTTGGTGTGCTCATTCAATGGCTCCGCAAACAGTTCCCTGAGCAAATTATATTTACCATCAATAGCCATCGCTTTCATACCCAACTCATTTGCCCACTTTGGTTTTGGTACATTGAAAGGCACGACTTGGTGACCATTTCGCTTCAAAACACTGACTGATTCACGTATTGCTCTACGAATACTTGGGACGGTAGCAATAAGAGATGGATCATCTAGAGCTTCATAATATCCTATACACAAATTTGTTTTGTCTCTGCCCTCATAGATTATTTCATTAAAAACCAAAGGTGGTACTGAAGGATCCAGCTCGAACATTTTAGGTGTAAGAAGTGTGCGCATAAGTTTCGCTAAATCATCCACTCGCTTACCCATTGGACCCGCAGACACTCGTAGAGAGACAGACTTCTTATAACCTAACGTGGCTAGACCTTGATTGCTCAAACGACCGGAGGTTGGTTTCAACCCTGCAAGACCACAAAATACCGAAGGAATCCTGACACTTCCACCTAAATCCGTTCCAATTCCTACCGGTGAACCCTTTAATGCCAAAAGTACTCCTTCACCACTTGAACTGCCACCTGTTTCATGATTTGAAGAGTAAGGGTTGGACAAATCACCGAATACAGGATTTATTCCGCTGAGTGATAAGGCTGTTTGAGAAGTGCTGTCAGAACAAATGGTATAGCTCCTTCATGTTTAAGTACTTTCAAAATACAACAATCTTCATCTGAAGGTTGATTACACCGTTTGATTAAACCAAATGTCACATCGTACCCCTTAGTTAAACACAATTCTTTTATGCTGATTGGTATTCCAACCAAAGTTTGTTTGTTTTTGGATAGACGATTTGAATTCACTAGATTCACAGCCAGTTGTTCTGCTTCCTCTAAAAATTCACATACACCTGAATTCCCTGCGTCATGTAGTCGTAAAGCTTTCATTTGGTAGGCATGCAATAAATCAACTGGAGTAAATTTGCCTTCAATCAATTGTTGTTGTAGTGTTTCCAAACTGAGATCTGTAAGTGATAACAATTCAGGGTTCAGTGTTGAAAGGTGTTTTCTCAAATTATCCATTCGTTGGATTAACAGTTGTTGTTTACGTGACAACTTCCTGCGAAGTTCTGACTTTTTCTGATAGTATATTCCAATATATACAATTAGAAATAAAATTCCAAAGGGTAGCATTACTTTGATTAGTAAGTTGTCAATTATCCACCTTAAGGCAGTCGGAATTGCAAAAATAACGACTTCTGCGCTCTTCAGTTCCATTGTGTAATCTGTAAAATGGCCAAATAAAAGAGAAATAAAATGTAAATAACTTTTTAGACTTTTTCTGTTTACCAGCTGTGATATCCTTATTAATCTTTGGTGGAGATAAGAATCAGTGACACAGACATTCATCTTTTATGCATAGTTAAGAGGCCTGAACTCTTCGTAACCTATTTTTTGTCCTAGGCAGAAGTTTTTTATAATAATACAGTACAAAATAATTATTTTTCCATTTGAATACTCACCACAGCCTTATCAATGTACCTAGGTGACTATTGCTACTGGATACTCTAAATCCATGTACGTTTTGTCACAACGGGAACCATCCCTCGTACATAAATAAAAGTCTCCTAGCTCTATCACATTGCATTCATTTAACTATGCGTAAATTTAGTCAATACCTCTACTCATCTGTTTTGCAATTAGTTGGCTTTATATTTTTGCTATATTTAGATTAGTGGAATATCTTTAATAATCACCTGGAATTTTCTTGTCATCGAAAGTCATTTACTATGAACTAATCTTATCAATTAGTTGTATGTACATAAATAATGAAGTAACCAAGTGATGTACAAGTGTAGCAGGCAACTATTGTCTTGCATTTAGTCCCTTGTTTGAAGCAGACTCAATTCTATCGCGGAAGTTTGCAAAGTGGTCACTATGCCAGGTGACTTAAGATCACAGTGAATTGTCATCAGATGGTTGGTTCTGAACTGCTGTCTGCACCAAATATAGGATCAAACGCATGAAACTAATTGTTAACTACCCAGTGTTCAATCATAATCTTTAATATAGTCCCACAGGATGGAAATCGGGAGCCCGAATAGCCGGAAACTTTTCTGTGATATTACAGATCCTGGTAAGCGATGTATTAATGTCCCCTCTGTTGATATAAATATTCCCAACAAATCCTTCATATGCTCTTCTAGTGATGCTTATGTTTCCAATATGACGGATAAAAACGCCAGTGACTTTCATGGTTTCAACACTTTTGATGTCCTGAAGTGTCTGGAATCTCTAAAATCTCCAGAGAGTCGGGTCTTGATGGTTTACCGGCTGTTGTCCTCAGCGGATGTGCTGATATTTTCTGTTACCCATTTACAAACACATTCAATACTTCATTTTTCAGTAATAATGTACATGCTACTTTGAAAGACGTTGAAAATATCTCTGTACCCAAATCAGGTTTTTATGAATTATTATGATGTTATCTTAATAATCGGCTATTTCATTATCCTCTGTTTGTAATCTATGGTGACAATACCTCAATTTAACTGAACAATATTGACTACTAACCTTATTATTATTTATAATGTTTTTGTATATATATGCATATGACTTCACTGTCACTACAATTACCATATCAGAACCTTAATTACCCATTCTGCAATATTGTTCCTAAAATTGTTTTCAAATGTTGTTCGATATAATTAACTGATAATCTTAACTGCAAACATCATTACCGTTATTTCACCTTTCTCATTTATGTTTATGATCCTACTGTCACTACAAACATCAAATAGAAACCGTCGCCAACAATCGTGTAACATTATTTTTGTATTTGTTTTCAATGTTATTCGATGGAATTAGATGCAGTAATTTGCCAAATGCTGAAAATTCCACACTATAACATTAGCGCTGTTTTGGAACAAAGCACATAATCATTACTAGTTTAAAGAATGCCTTTTCCTTTCCAAATGTGCTGTAGGTCTGACAGCCTAAGAAGAGCTTACAATGGTATATTTGCTTAGTTAGACAAGACTTGTTGAATATACATTGCTTATCCTTTTGTCATTCCGCATTATTGGTTGTAGGCATTGAATTTATTCATTTAGACCTACTGTTATGTACTCGTCGCTAAGTTATTGTTATGGACTGGTCGAGAAATTAATAGTCCTGACGCAAGAAGGCGGAAATCAGAAGACCACTAGGTTTGCGATGATACTTCTATTGTCCAAACATAAGGAGACGAAAATAAGTGGTCTCACACCAAGGTGGTAAGTAAGTAAAGTAGTTGTAAAGTAGTTCACACAAATTGTGAATGCGAATATATATAAATGTTCCAGACAAAGCGTGGGAAAATCATTAGACAGTCTTAACATGAATGGCTAATTATATTGGAGTGTCGATCCAAATATACATAGCGAATATAGCAGACATGTGAACAACCATATATGGATATATGTCACCAAGCAACGGACTGTCAACAAACACTCATATTATATATAATATAATATAAGGAGAATATACATTGATAAAGGAGACAAGTTCATACCAGTGAAATGGTCACAGACTAAGCGAGCAAACAGAAAGAGAGACCAACATACACACACACATAAATATATATGTGGATACATATCACCTACAAACTGACAGTTCTATCCGAAATACTAAAGCGACATTGGATTTCCCGAATCATATTCATCACCAGAACTACGCGCTTCTTAATCTCTTCATGTGATACTGTGATGATATACAGATCAGGTTATCATATAAAACTGATAGTCAATTTTAGAAATACCTTTTCTTATGAGTTATCAATATTAGGTCCCATCGTAAATCACTGGAACTTAAGACTAACCAATTCATGTAAAATGAAAGAGAAGTTAAGTAGCAACATTCAAATAGAAAATAATGAGAAAATGATTAGTTTTGATATAGCTAGTCTTTAAACTTTTAAACTAATCAATGTACATTTAAAAGCAATCAGAAAAGATCTACTTGACGGTCTTGAATTCACTCATAAAACAAAGCTACACACTGAGTAAATTATTCGCGAATTTCAGTCATATCACACATCTAATGTGTTCAAATTACATGGCAAGATAAAAAGATAACCAGAGGAGATAGTAATGGAACCACGAATATCCCCAATGGCAGTAGATATCTTTCTGAATGGTTGAGAAAAAAATGCAACCCTTAAAACATTTAATCCTAATCCAAAGGAATGATGAAAATATATGGATGACACTCACGAAATGAAAAACAGGACATATCTCTAGTTTCTTCACGCACATAAACCCAATAGTAGATAGAATAAAATTAACAGTGGAGCTAGAAAATGAACAAGGAGAGTTAACTATGTTATATTACAAAATAAAACGAACGCTGTTTAAGCCAGGTCATTAGTTTTCCGTTAAGACAGGCTTACTTAAGTGCCTAACAAATCGAACAGCAATGCCAAACATTGCGTCAGAATGAAATGAAACAGAGAGATAGATCATTGTGCTAAATATGTATCCCATAAAACCACTAGGAAGTTGAAGAAAGTCCACAATGAAAGAAAAACTAGCAGTGAAAATAATGACCATAACTCAAACATAAGGGAATTCAAGGCATTCATAGTGTTGGCACATGAGAGAGGGATGTTCGAGAACCTACATGGGATTCCCAATAAAGGAGGGATTAGGTTGACATCTAAACCTACAAACTCACAGATTTGGGAAATATCACTACCAACAAAGGCAAAACGAAATCTGAGAGTTATGTCAGCATCTCGATATGACTTTGTTTCAGGCGGTTGGCTTAATAGCCTGGGCTACCTAAATTTTCTGTTCATAAAACGCTTACTCTGTTTCAGATTGTTATGTTGATCTAATTACCAAAATCAGTCACAATTCATACTCTCGCACACTGTTTCAAATAAATTTCTATTAAGATCTGTAGATTTGTGGACGAAATAGACGAAGGGGATTGTGTAGTAGTACTGGAGAAAGAGCTTGGGGTGGGACAATATTGCGTCAGATGGAGTACTATAGATTATTATGTTGTTTGGAAGATTTTGCCTGAGAAGTAAGTACCTTTCAATGAAACTCGCTGAAAATTCTCTATTGTAGTATAAATGAGTTTTTCAGAATAAAGCTCTCATGACTATTATTATTATGATTAAGTTGTACCCGAAACATCATCAGTAAATAATACTGTATCGCTGTATCTCGTAAAAAGTTATACCATGATGTCCAACAGTTTCTTTGTCTAGTGAACTGAAGAATTTTTCATTTTCAGTATTACTATTGTGGTGAGAGCTGGCTGTTAGCCAAAATTGGTGGACACTAACTTACGTCAATGTTTATGCCCCCAATATTGGTCGTGAGAAAAATGAGAACAAAGGCTTTGTGTAGGCGGATACAGTTAACATATAGATGATCTGACATTCAAGAAACAGCTACAAAGAGATGCAAGATCAACTTTCTAGGAGAAATAATCAATCAGAAGACTGTGTTTCTCTGCTAACAATAATCTATAATTATTATTATTATTATTGTATCCTTTAGTTCCTAGAGGAACATAGGGCTTCAGCTGCGCACCTCCATTGACTTCGGTTTTCTGACAACTTTTTCACCCTGCTCCAGGTCTGCCCACATGCTTTCATCTCCTCTTCACATGACCTCCTCCAAGTCACCCTTGGACGACCAACTCGCCGCCTCCCTTTCGGGTTCCACTCGAGGGCTTGTCTAGTGATGTCACTTGATGGTTTCCTCAGCGTATGGCCAATCCATCTCCATTTCTTTCTGCCTATTTGTTTCACAATCGGTTCCTGATTGGTTCGCTCCCAGAGATCCCTGTTGCTGATCTTTTCTGGCCATCTGATCTTGAGTATTGAGCGGAGACAGTTGTTAATGAAGCTTTGAAGTTTGTTTGAGATGCTCTTTATGACTCGCCAAGTCTCTGATCCGTATAGTAGCACTGACTTCACATTGGAGTTGAAAATCCGGATCTTATTTTTGATGCTGATTGCTGTTGACCTCCACACAGATTTGAGAGTAATGAAAGCTTGTCTTGCTTTTCCGATTCTGGCTTTGATGTCTTCGTCAGTTCCGCCTGTAGTTGAGACGATGCTTCCCAGGTAGGTGAAGGAGGTTGTTTCTTTCAGGTTCTTCCCATTTATGCTTATTGTGGTCTGTTGTTGCTGTTGA